CGTGGTCGACAATATTCTTACATCTTAAGACTCTGGTAGAGGTACGATCCTTAATCTGCTTGATTTTTCAAGAGCATTTGATTCTATTAACATAGATTTGCTGCTATCTAAGCTATCGTTTTATGGTTTTGTAACATCTTCCATAAAATGGTTTCAAAGTTACTTATGCGGCCGTTTACAACAAGTAATATTAAACCAACCAAATGGGTCGTCCCTTGTTTCTGAACAGCGACCACTTAATAGAGGTGTTCCACAGGGTTCTATCTTAGGACCAATGTTATTTATAATTTACACTGCTGATATAACTAATTGCATGCATTTTTGCAAATACCACCTATATGCTGACGATCTACAGGTATATCTTTCCTGCAATTCACTTGAACTTTATTCTAAAATTAGTGACATTAATGAGGACCTGAATCGAATTGCAATATGGTCACAGAAAAATTCCCTCATTTTAAACCCACTAAAAACTAAGTAGTTAGGATCAAAAAAATCAAATTAAATTTTTAGAAAATGAAAACCCTAAAATCACGTTCTTAAACATCCCTCTGGAGCGTGTAAGTGAAGCTCGTAACCTCGGTTTAGTTATGGATAGCAGACTGCGTTTTGAAAAATACGTACTCGAGCTTGTCCGCAACTGCTTTTATAGGTTAAAGGTGTTATATAGAATCCGTGAATACATTCAGTTGGACTTAAGAATTAGACTGTGTGAATCTCTCGTTCTTTCAAAATTAAACCACTGCATTACAGTGTATGGACCCTGTATTTTAGAAAAGTCAGAACGTCTAATTCAACGTATACAAAATGCATGTGCACGATACTGCTTCTCAATACCAAAACGGTCCCATGTAACACCTTTTTTTAATGAAGCAGGTATTTTAAAAATGAAAGCGCGACAGAAACTATACCTCGCTAATCTACTATTTGATGTTGTCAAAACTAAGTCACCCCTATATTTATATGATAAACTTATATGGAGAAATCGAGAAAACACCATTAGGTCTTGTACGAACCCGCTTGCTAATCCCACTTCAGTAAGTGGGATTAGCAAGTGGGAAAAGCAATTCTGCAGCTTTCAGAGGTTTTAAATATAGAGGTAATATAGAGGTTTTAAATATAAGGCTACAAGGTTATGGAACGACATTCCTCCACCTATACGTGAGTGTAATTCAAAGAATAATTTTAAATCCCACCATAAGAATCATTTATTGCACTCACAAAAAGCTCAACCTTGAGCCTTTCTTCCAGCATCGTTGAGCATTATGTTTGGTTTTAGCTTATCGTTACGTTTATTTTTATATATTTTTTGAAACTTTTTTATTTTTATATAGAATGTAATATGTTATGAATATATTTATGTATAATATGTCTTGTATATATGTATATCCCTAAATGTATATATAGGTATATTTATGAGCAATGAAATAATTCAATTTATAAAATAATTATTGAAATCTATGTCATAAACACTTCCAGTTCCATGCGGATCATGCGTGTATATGTGGTTATGGCAGAATCATCAGCGCTGTTGGTTACCCTGCAGCATTACGCTGAGTCATAACCTTTTCACTGGCTCGATACACTCTTGTAATTTTAATCTAACATACTTTTAACTTTTTATTTTTTATTTTTGTGATGTGTACAGTTCCAGTGAATAAATGTCTTTATTTCTTTTCCTTCTTTCTTTCTTTGCATTTATTGCTATGTTCCAGCTTAAAGGATATAGAGAACGGAGAACCAAATAATTACTGCTCGAAAAGAATACCAAAGAGGGGGAGGATCAGTCAAGTTGTCACTTCTTAAGTGTAACCTCCTTTTTTATGTCGAATACAGATGTTTTTAGGCTACTGTAGATATCTACCACTTTATCCACAAAACCGAAGTTCCAAAACAATCACTTTAATTTTTATAATATTTGGCAAGCCCGAGGTCGATAACCAATGGCATCACGGAAATTGTTATCTTAATTTTAGAGTTTATTTTCCAAGTACTCCGCGATAAAGAAATATGTCGTGTGAACACTGAGCACTTGTATAATGTAGTGTAGCTAGCTGATACGCATTGACGCAGCCCAGTGTATTCTTTTCTGTTCCTTCACCAAATAAATAAGAACGTGGTCTGTGCAACGCAATAGAATATGTTACTTTTTAATATAATATTTGGATGACACGACCTTCTATTCTATATGGGACAGGTCAGGATTTGATATATTCTTTTTAATAATATAAGGGTGAAAAACGAGCACACAGTCCACTTGATGGTAAGTGGTTGCTGCGGCCCATAGACATTTACATCTATCCTCGGATACGAATCAAATGCAGATGCGTTGTCACCCATGAGCACTAAGATGAAATGCATCGTTTCCAGTAAAAAGGCTCTCCCATTCTCTACACTCACCATACGAAACACAACAGCTTTAGGCTATTTTACGCTGGGTTTCTGAGAGAGCGACCAATTCGTGCTACAATTAAGCTGCAGCATGGCTCCACCACGTATATCATTATAGAACTATTATATATTATAGTATTGTAGTCCACATATATTAGTTTTATTGAATATGTATTAATACTTATAGTGCATTATGTTATCATCAATCCGGCTACTAAGAGTGGTATACCAAATCCTGAAGAAGAAGCAAGCAAGAAGGAAATTCGTAAATAATTATTATAAAAAGGTCTGCTGCAAAAATGTGTGTCTGTGTACATTGTAATATTCCAATAACATTTGTTTTGTTAACTGTCTGCAAACAAAAATCATAGCCAATTCCCTAATGCATCTTATCTTTACGACAGGAGCACGAAGAAGATAAAGTCTATTTAAATGAAAGCAGATTCGATATCTCAAATCGCTATCGTAAAACGGCGAGTAGTTCTGACTCTACTAGCATTAAGTTGAGTAATCCTAAAAAACGGCTCTTGTCTAATTGCACCAAACTCAGGGAGCACTACACCTATAAAGGCTAAGCGGTTGGATTCAAAATAATGTGTTTTACATTTTAGCAGCGACGCTATCTGCGACATAAAACGGCCTGTAATTTATTCTATTGCTGAAAGGGTTGGGTTGACTCGGGGTGGGAATTACCCAAGGTGGGTGCTAAAGGGTTAAGCCGAATATACGGGGTCGCGGCGCCGGCAAACTTCGTTAATTTATGCGCTTAAAAATGTCAACTGGAAATTATGACACCAAAACACATTTCCTATTTCACAAATAAACATGTTACTTATATTTACATCGTTCAGTTTTCAGGGGCTTATTTATAGGTTTCAATTCTGATTTAATAAAAAATATGATTTAATAAATACTACGTATTTAAGTAAGGTTTTGAAAACTCAATTTATATAAAATTATAAATTGCTTTATTATATACCTATAATAAAGCAATTTATAATACCAGATAAAATTGTATTTTTAGTAAGACTCGAAATCTGGATATTACATCAATCAGCAAACTCTTCTGTCGATATCTAAAACATTGTTAAGAATTTTGTGGTAGACATACCTACCTGGTTACGCTATAGTCACCACTGCTTAGGCAACCATTTTATCCCTTCACGTAGTGGTTGATGTCTTAAAACCGATCCATAAACCATAAGAAACCAGAGAGCGAATACAACATTTATGCGATAAAAAGTTTTTTTTTAAAAATAAAGTTTATACGAAAAGACAAATAATACTTTATAGCATCAAATTTAGATACGACAAAATTGATTGCTGTTTGATTTTTATTTATTCGTGCGATATCAGTTTAAATTAAATTATTCGTTATAAATCAAAGAATTTCAATATTCGTCCGCTGCGAGCTTGACTGTTTGTAGGACGAGTGCCTCGGCTGCGATAAGACGAAAATTCTAACAGGCTTTGTGGGGGAGGGCGGAAATCGTCTCACTCATTATTTAAATATTCTGATGAGTGCGTTAAGCGTCCCGTTAGCGTTAGTGGAGCGTTTCGCGATAACTCTTAGCGCCATTGTTTTGTTGATTGAGTTGTTATGGTACTTTACTAAATGCTTTTAAGTATGAAAATACTTTAACGTTAGTTAAAATGTATTATATGCAATTTTAGAATTTAGCACGAGATTCTACTCTATAATATACATATATTTTATTGATGTAGCGATGAATTAAGTTGGTTCTCACTCACAACTAACTGGATTTTGATTTGTCATTGAGTTTTACCATAACTTATAAATTCCATTATTCCTGTGACATCTTGAACACCTACCTACCTCCGTTTACGTTCATCACACCCTGGGAAATCAATGAGTTTCTCCGTTACTGGTTTTTTAATCCTTCCACCGTGACGGGGGATCATGTTTTGATTTTCAGTTGATACAGAAGTAAATTTTTGTGGCATCGCAAAAGGGGTGAAAATTCCACTACCCTTGTCTTTTATATTTCAAACAATTCTTTTACTGTACGTCTTACACATACTATTGGATAATGGCCTTTCCCAGAATTGGGCAGCTGGCAAGCATAACTTGGAACATTTGTCCAAAATCATCACGCTTTGCAGGTGGATTGATGAGCACTGGGTTGTACCCTCGCTCTGGTAAAGATGCTTCCCTAACTAGACTGTGGAATTAGAGTGCTCAAGCTACTAATACTTACCTAAAGTTAACTAAAAGTTTAAAAAATAGATCTCAGTTTCAAGTACTTTCTTTATTGAAAGAAGCTTAAATAACTATATAATATATTAGCCGTGTAGTGACAGTGTAAGACGATTCACTACCCCATATCATTCCATATGTGTCCTCAATAATAATTAAAAAACAGCGGATGCCAACCTGCATGCCAAGCGTGGCAATTGTGGCAATAAACCTCTCCCTATTCCCCCCGTTAGGCAATCTATGAGGGAGGACTATGTAAAGCAGAGGACTTTTGCAACTATGTAATGAATGACAGTAATTGAACGATTTTAACTACATAATATGGGTTTTTATCTGTTTTTTTTATTAATATATGAATTCTATCGATAAAATATAATAATATTTGTTCCAGGAATTGCCCATCAGCTAGCTGGATTGCCTGGTGGTGAATGGGGAGCGTTAGCTCGGCATTACCCGCCCCCAATATTACCCTCACATGCACATTTCACACCACACGTGCTGCCATCTACGCATGCACAACATCCACATGTTCCTCCACCGCCTCACGAAACAGGTAATGAGCTTGTTCTTTTATAATTTGCTTTTAATTTTCAAGCGATTTCAAAAAGGAGGAACTACTCAATTCGACTGCATGTTTTTTATGTGTATTACCTCATAACTTTGTCCTCAGTGAACCGATTTCGATGATTCTTTTTATTTGAAAGTTGGTGCTTCTCATATAGTTCCATATAAATTTGATCAAGGTTTGACCAGTAGTTTTAGACTTATCTTATATATTGAAGTCGGTTGTACGAATTTTTTATTTTACCATTAGTTTAAGCTTGTTTTAATCCCAGATATTTACATACAAACCTTATCAAAACAGTTGATATTGGGCATTATGAAACGCTCCCCTCATTCGTCACGAGAGTGTCGTATGCGGCGGCTATTTCCATAGTGTAAAGTTTTGTGAATTCCGAGAAATAGTGGTATAACCATCTGGTTTACGTAAGACGTAAAATATCCACTACACACGTACTACACCTATTACATAAGACGTAATATAGCAGCATCAAAGGTGCAGACATCTGCTACTGCGATCGCAACTCGCCTGCTAAGCGTGACTATTTTGCAAATCCACTCTACAACGGGGCCAATATCCAGTTGTGGATTTTGTGGGCCGATAAGAAAAATGTATTACAAAACTACGACCATGATGAAATGACATTTAAATACGTGCGGCAGAGAACACACTTAACGTGGTAGAGCCATGTTGCAGCGATTTTATGGTTGTAGCACGAATGGTTTGGTAACCGGCACAGGACCACGCTTACACATAATACCAGCGTAAAATAGCAGCATATTGCCACAGTGTAGAGAACTGGAGACCCATTTTACTGGAAACGAGGCATTCCACTTAGTCCTCAGTGGTGACAGCGCATCGGTATTTTGATTATTATTCGAAGATAGAAGTAGATGCGTTTCGGTCCCAGCATCTACTATGAGCTCGTTTGATACCCTGATCCTATAAAAGAAAAACACACGACAAAAGTTTTTCATCGTTAGCTCAATTAATTATCATATTTTAAGTTAGATTCAAATTGAATAGAACTAACTATAATAATAATAATAATAACGTTTTTTTTATCTCTTATATTAGAGAATATACTATATTTGTCGCAATTAGCAGACAGATCTCCATCATATTCAGATCAACAGATTTGAATATGATGGATCATCATCACCAGGTTTGTACACCTAGCAAGTACAAATTTTATTTTTTTATCTTAGCTGGGCCCCTAAATTACTCAAACCTGACGTTACTGCGACATTGTAATTTTAAATTATTCAATTGCTTGAGTAAAATGCCCCAAAAATTTTATACTCTTGGACTGATAACAACACGGCATCAACTTTCGTATGAGCGTCAACAAGTCACAGATATCTACAGGGTTAGGCGTTAGCGCAAGTATACGAAGGATGGTTGATTATAGGGACAAGGCCAGTAGTCCAATAAATTACTTACAACAGTTTGCTCGGCCAATTAAATAAAAATCAATAAATCAATAAAAATCCCGTCGTAACTGATGGTGATTCTGTGAGATCTGAAGCTGAATTGAATTGAATCTCTAGAGCACCCAGTGGTACGTGTCGTAGAGCCATGCTGCAGCTATATTAATAGTATAATTGTAGCACGAATGGGTCGGCTCGATCGGGGAAGGACCACGCTCTCACAGAATACCAGCGTAAAATAGTAGCTTAATGCTGTTGTGTTTCGTATGGTGAGTGTAGAGAACCGGAGACCCTTTTTACTGGAAAAGAGGCATTCTATCAAACGCATCTGCATTTTAATTCGCAAACGAAGATAGATGCAGATGTGTATGGGCCACAGCAGCCACTTACCATCAGGTGGACTGTGTGCTCGTTTGTCACCCTAATTTATTTAAAAAAAAATACTTAAATAAAAAATATTATACAAGTGCTATCCATCATCTATATGCATTCCATTAAGAGTGAGTAGGCTTTAATTAAGCTAGTGCATTTTGCTACCCAAGACTGTATATCTATTATTATACAATCAAGTGGTGGAAAATAGAAGACGGTGATGAAAATCCTACCTTACCATAGCTTACAGTTTATAAAAGAGATTCTCGCTAGACTTTCGATTCGTCGATTATCGAACTCTATATTAATATACAAAAGAGTTCCGCGAAAGATTCAAACCTAAGACCAACTGCATAGTAGCTAGTTACTATGACTTTCTTAAAACTAAACCTATATTAAGATAAAATATTTTTAATACAGATGTTGCTTCGGAGAATCCAACGACAATGAATGCACATAGTACAACGAGTCCTGTCAATTCGCGCCCAAGTTCGCCACAAGATGACGACATCTCTGTCACAGCATCCAGCAGCCCACCTCCTGACGATCGCCCTGGAGCTTTTACGTCGGTGACTAGATCACGTAAACCATTACAGCCTTTACCAGCACCTTCGAGTCTGTTCCACAGCGCATTAGCAGCACAACTGTTCCTAAACTCCCCCCTCCTTCCAACTCCTCCTGCATGGCTATATTCTCAATTATATGGAGGATATGATTGGTGGCTAAGACCCACACCCCCACAAGAGGATTCCAACTCTAGTCCCGATCGAGAAGATGAAGGTGCGTCAACATTGTCGGGGGTTGCAAAGAAAAGAGCGGCATGTCCCGAATGGTCAGACCAGGGCGTTAGAACTCGAAGCAAGTCATTGATAACACAAGAAAGGCGACCCGTAGACGTTTGGCGCCCATACTAATGAAGAATTTGTGTCAAAACAATTACAGGAAGTTATACACGTCTTTTTGTGCGGCTTTACCGTCCGGTGTGCTTAAGACGTTTGGATGAACAATATAGTATTGCGTGTAGGTAACAGAAAGGAATACGAATTCCATGCAATAGTGATCTCTGTCGATAGATGTTTTTACGTTAGATAAATAAATGTGAACTTCAAATTGTAATTAAGTAATTGTTGACTGTATTATGAAATAATGCAAAAGTCTGTAAATAAAGTTACTGAAATTTTTAATTTGTATTTAATGAATATTTCCATTACGTACTCGTAGTTCATTTTTATTTTGCGTGTTTATTTAAATTACTTAAATGAAAAATGATAATATAAATTAAAACTTGGCAACGATTGTCTCGAATCAATAAGCCAGTGTTGAACATAATGTAAAGGCAGGTTGTGAGAGACAAATTTTTGGATTGCTTCCATAATATTAAAATACCCTGCAAAATGTGTGATTAACTACATGAAAATCAAAACTGTTTATTTTATTTATCAATTTATTTTCATAAATGTAATATTTTGTTATCGGTTTTTATTTATAATAAATAAAAGTGTATTAAAAGAAACAATTTTAAATAATTTTTAAATAGTTATTAGCTTTAATATATATGAAATTAATGTTCACTAGGTGAAGTTGCAAGATTTTGATGGGATTTGGCACTGTGAGTCTGAGCTTTCGCAGCACTGTGAGTGGGAGCTGCGGCAAGAATGGGATCGAGAGCTTCGGCAAGATCCAGTGCCTTTGCAGTTATATGATTTTGAACTTCTACAGGATTGGGATCTGGAGAGTCGACAAGGTTGATCATTTTCACATGGTGATGGCTGGCATGGCTGGTTGCAGCAGCGTTTGTCAACATACTCCATCAACTTCGTTAAGCCGCATAAAACTTCGACAGCCGTGCAAACAATTTCCTCTTTTGGTAGAAGAAAGCGATGTCTTTTGCCTCTTAGTTCCACCATATACGAGTAGGGAATGTTACCGACAGCGTAGCTCCAATCAGTACTTGTTCCAGATGCGTAATACATGAGATCTTTTGTGCTGCCCACCTTGTAAGTGTGGCCGCTGGCTTTTTGTATGGCCTGTAAGTAAAATAAAATTACTTTTTAAACAGAAAATGATTAATTTTCAATCGGAATCGAGTTTACTTATCCCTTTCTCAACACCGTGGTAGCTCAACAGAATTTCACACAACACAATTCAGAGAACGCGAGCAAACTGAATTCGATTCGCTTCGGTACCAATAAAATTATTGGTTGCAATATAAAGTAAGAGCAGATTAAGCACGTTCCCGGTGGTGAAGAAAAACATCGTGAGGAAGCTTGCATGTCTGAGATATAAAATATTTCGAGCACATGTAGGCAGTACGGCGATATTCGCTCCATCTTAACTGCCTCCTGCTTAAAGACAGTAGGACGTTTAAAAGGCTTCCTGCTTGAGCACAATAACCTTAATAAATTCTATACACATTAGACTATCTGTAAGGTAGTTTATGAGGCAGTGTTATATTCAGCTGTGGATTTTTGATAGTCTGTAAGGAAAAGAAGGAAGATAATCATATTTATTAGGAAAATATTGGGAGCTTTAGACCCAAAGTTGTAAACGAGTATGCTTACAAATATAAATATATAAATTAATATAATATAATAAATAAGACATATTGTCTGAATAAATCCAACTTCAACCGAGAGGTCAAGCGACGGTCTCAACTCACGCATCTTCTCGTCACATAGTCGCTGGACTCTGTCGGTTACGACTCAGTAAGCTTAAGTGGCATTGGGCCGGCCATATAGCTCGAAGACCGTGCTTTGTGGCATTCTTTAGGGGAGGCTTTTGTTCAGCAGTGGACTTGTGCAGGGCCGTAATAATGACTATGGAAATAATATAGTCAACTAAAGAAATGCTTAATGGTGCTCTTTCCCTCTCTCTTCAGTACAATTACTGACTACTACATGAGAATGAGATACAGGTAAAACATAATACCTATGTAAGCGATAAAAATGATTATTAGCAAAATATAATTTATCAAGTTTTTATAAAACATGAACTACCTTAGCCATAGCTGTGCCAGCCTCCAGCATCTGAACGTAGTCCGGACAAGGATCAGCAGTGTAACCCCATGGGAAAATTATCACCTCACCATAGCTATGAAATGACAGGAACACCTTGAACTTAGTGTCACTTTCGCAAATAGCGTTCTGTATGAAAAAAAAAAATATAAATACTTTAATTACAGTGGGAAGAAAATTTTGTAATGTTTTTTTTTTAAATTGAAGCAATGTTTTGATACTCGCCGAGCACAGGCGAGTAGGCACGAGTAAGGGCATGTAAACGCCTTGTTCGGGTGTTTTTGCTACTCGGGCTAAGTATTTGCCTGTTCTCCACTCGATCTCGGTTTTTTGGCACGAGTAAAAGGAATGCTCGTGTGTGTTGGTATTGGTGTTAACATACTCGTCATTATTCGCTCGACCCGTGAACGTTTAAACTTTATTTTTCTTATAAAATAATTATAAAAGTAATAATAATAAAAATACCTACCTACTGTGATGAATAACGAGTAACGAATCCACTATTTTTATGGAACTTTATCAAAAAGAACCCGTGATATGGGGTCCTAGAAATCAGTTTTAAATAAATATTAATTAAAATAAATATTTCATCATTATCATTATCATCATCATCATCACCATCATTACAGCCCTTCCACATATGCCTCGGAAAATAGGCCTCCCCCAAGGAATGCTAAAAACCATTATCCTGAACTAATGCATTCATCGACTTCCTGCATGTCTTACCAGGTCGTCGCTCCATCTATTGGGGGGAGGGGTGAGTGCATTATACATCCCTCAAATAAATACATGTGAGTCTATAAATATCAAGTAGACATAAAGTGAATACACACGAAATATATAAACGCGCCGTACTCGTCCACGAAGAACTCGGCGAGTTGCTCGTGCTGATCATCATTCATCATTACAGCCCTTCACAAGTCCACTGCTAAACATAGGCCTCCCCCAAGGAATGCCATAAAGCAGTGTCCTGAGCCACCTGCATCCATCGACTTCCTGCATGTCTTACTGGACCTGAGGTCGTCACTCCATCTAGTGGGGGGATGACCGTGCCGATAATCTACCGTAAATTTCACAGTTCGCCAACAACATGGGTTCAATCCCCGCCGGTATCAATAAACTTAATTACAATAATTTTAAGCGCTGATTTACCACATGCAGCGGACATATGGATTTATTGCATTTGAGTAACGCATCAGACTAATTGCTACATCATAGCCCTCTCGGAAATGAGAGGAGGCCTTTGCCCAGCTGTGGGACATATTATCACAAAATAAATAAAAGTTTCATTAGGCAGTATTTTTAATTTTAAATTTTTAACTTTTATTTGTATTCGTATATGTAGATACAAAATTAAATATTTTACTAACTCTGATAGCACAAGTTTCTGGTTCCGAAAATGGTTCTGGACCTCTATAAAAAATGTTTCCTGGATCCTCTGAAGACCCTTCTTCGCCTCGTTCGCCCCAACCACAACTGGAAAATGTATAACTTTCATATTGTCTTATGTTATTGTCGTAGAGTGGCGACGTAAGAGAATCAATCCCCTATCCCAGTGTTTCCCAAACATTATTCTGCCATGGCCCGGTAGTTTTCACACTGTACCTTCGTGACCTGATACTTTTAAACCCAAGCTGGTTCCATTAAGTAAATGTGTATTATTGTACTTAAATTTGTAATAAATTGTAAATTTGAGTAAAAAGAAATTGTAGTAAAAATGTTTTAAAAATGAATGTTAACGATACGTTGATCGATAGTAGGTATTATTTTAAAACAAGGCGGGAATGTTGTGACCCGGTATTTTGTTTTGATGGTCCGGTACCGGGTCGCGACCCGGCAAATGGGAAACGGTGCCCTATCCTATATCACCAAAAATCCGCTGGTGTTGTAGAATAATGTCCTCCAGACCGAATGTCGGTCACAGCCAGTTCCAAAGAAGATTGGCCACCGTAACCTGCGCAGGACAGGATTATAGTGCCAAGTGTATGCATAAGCACAAGTGCACTCTATTCTCTCACACTTCGTCACAACTGGAGAGAGATCAGACGTAGGACCAACAGCTTTACGCGCTTTCCGAGACATAAAGGGTGAAATACCGCCAGCTTTGCTACTCTGGACTGCTACTGAGAATTTCTTAACAGAAAAACTCATTAAGTGATTTTGGCCCGACCTGGGATTCGAACCCGGTACCTCATGATCAGCAGTCGCGTTAACGACCACTACGCCAACGAGACAGTCTGGCTGTAATTAGTGAATTAATGAAGATGTCATATAAAATATTTAAAAACAAAATAAGGGCATGATTTAAAAAAGGGCAAGGTATAGTACAATATTTACTGGAGTCGTGCAGCCGGGACACTACAATTGTTAATTGCTTTAGAAGGAACAAAGGTGTTCACTCTTCTTGTTCTTCTTTACCAGCTCGTAAGAGTCCACTGTTGGCATTGGGCCTCTCTCGTTTGGGGGATTTGCCTTAATTGCTTGGCTTTGCAGGCGGATTGGCGATGACACACACTTCAATAATAAAGTATAATGTATGTATGTATCTTTCTTTACGTTGAGGTGTTTGTTAAGGTCAAATTTTAATAAAAATATTTTGACTTTGATTTAGACTGCAAACTGTGTAAAATATTTAAAATAGCTATGAAATATGTATATATATATGTATTACGCTTTCATAAATATATATCTATACAAATAAATAAAATTGAAGTGTCTGTTTTTAATGTCAAAATTACAGTTTTTTACTAAATGCATATGACAGTAAATATGGTACTTATAACTAAAACACAATTTTTAAAATTTTTGTCTGTCTGTCTGTCTGTTTGTTCCGGCTAATCTCGTAGTATATATTTTTATGAAAGCGTCGTAAAGTAGGAGACCGCTACATTACTGCATTGGCAAATGTTACATGTTATCGAAATATTTTTAATTTAATAGATACAGGTTTGGTATAAAATAAGCTATGTTAGTTGCTTATTTGCACATCTTCTTTTTTAACAGTCTTTCAAAGTCAAAGTCATAATATGTTTACTTAAAAACGAACTTTACAAAGCACTGTTGGAAAGTCAAACTACTCACTACTGAAGCCATCATGAAATATTCGCCTATATCCATCACGCTTGATAGCCAAACCGATCCAGTATAACTAAAATAATACGACTTTTTGTGAAAAAAATGTTAAATGAGTTTTACCTAAAGTTTCTGTTCAGATCTACACCGCAACAGTCACCGTAACGTGCTCGATTTTTTCGCCACATACGGTCATGTGTATGTGTATATTCGTATCCATCCGGATTTACAACTGGCAATATGTACCTATAAAGAACATTTTAAGTAAGAACATTTGATTATAATATTTATCTTATAATAAGCTTTTGTTAACAACGCGAAAAGGAATCGTTTTTGCCATTTTATATTTCTATACATATAAAAGAGGATGTTTGTATATATGAAATCGCATAACTCAAAATCTATTTGATCGCTCACCATGAAAATTGGTATATATCTGCATTTTTCAATGGCGAAGGTTTATATTTATAAACCAAATAAAATAATTAAAAAATTAGAAACAAAATTTAAAGTTTTTCATTTTATTTGCTTTTTTCAATCAATCGCGGCAACTAATAAATTAAATTGCATGTACTAAAATAAAAACGTTGCTGAACACAACCTATAATATCAACTGGCAGGACAACGTCTGTGGGGTACATGTGCAAATGACTAAAGATAAATATGAGTTTAGTTTATACATTTGACTCGAATTGTCTATGATCATTTGTGTATATTCTATTTACAAAGCACTTCACAAAAATTTTAGATATTTTTTATGTGGTAGAGTCACGCTGCAGCTATATTATAGTTGTAGCACGAATGGGTCGGCTCGACCGGGGTAGGACTACGCTCTCACAGAATACCAACGTAAAATAGCAGCTTAACGCTTCTGTTTCGTATGGTGTAGACTCTTCAGTTCTCTACAGACTACATTGTAGAGAATTCCATCCAGACCATTTTTGTCCTCACGCGTGATAACGCATACTACATTTTGATTCGTAATCGAGGATAGATGTAGACGTCTAAGGGCCACAGCAACTACATACCATCAGGTAGGTTGTGTGCTTGTTTGCCACCTTTATCCTATAATAATTGACTACATGCTGACGAAAACGCACATAATAATAGGTCAGGGAAAAGTTTCTTCGTATTTTATATACAAATTCAAACAATTTTTTAAAATAAAAGTTTAGTTCCTTTTAATTAAAATATAGATATGTGCCATTTTGTTCGATAACTTGTTGCCATCTTATAGGTAGTGACATAATCCCGTTGCTGTAGAAATCTTGGGATATTTGGTCAAAAAATGCGATAAATAGTTTTGACAGTCCTCCCTTGATGTTAACCTAACACTATCCAAAGAATTCTGAAGAGACCGAATCAGGTGAAAATTTAAGTATGCAAGATCAAGATTATATTATGGTGGATGTTAATACGCCATGAAAATTGTCTCTCAAAAATTAAGAGAACTTTTTATTGTTTTGTTTAGTGAACAGAAAAACAATTGTAAAATTGGGGGAAAGTGATTTTTACTTTTTATTTTTCTTTTTCTTAATGTCCTATATGTATTAAAACCAGCCAGATACAAACAGTACAACCAAAAAGATTTTTCTTCAATTTTTTACCGACTTCAAACAGGAGGAGGTGTACTCTATTTGACTGTATTTTTTTTTAATGTATGTTACCTCATAACTTTTTTTCTAGTTAAACCGATTTTGATAATTATTTTTTTATTTCAAAGCTGGTGTGGTCTCATGTGGTCCCATATATTACACACATTTTTATCACATAATTTGATCAAGATCTGACCAGTAGTTTTTAAGTTATCCTTAATAATTCATATTGAAGTCGGTTCTACAAAATTATTAATTTTACCACTTGTATAAAAACAACATACGTAGAAACTTTTTCCCTGATCTATTATACAACATCAAATCAGGGACTGAAAAATATAAAAATAGTAACTAGACTTCCGAGTGGAATACTGAATTGACAAAATTTGATTGAATTGAGTTGATTAATCTGTATGCTTTGAAATATATGGAGGCAATTTTGTTTGTGAGAAAGTGTTTGTGTAAAGTGTGAGAGTGATATCGAAAGCAGAGTGAATGCAGGAAACATAGAGAATGGAGCTTTGCACTCTTTTATGAGCAGTTGGAAGGTGTCTAACAAGGCTCGTTTGGCTGTCCATGAGGGGGTGTTGGTTTCGACACTCATGTACGGAAGTGAAAGTTGGGTATGGCAGAAGAAACATGAAAGCAGAATAAATGCAGTTGAGATGTGAGCGTCAAAAAGTATGATAGGAGTGAAACTGAGTGACAGGATAAGAAATAGTGAGATAAGGAATCGTTGTGGTCTGAAAGAAGATATAGTGACAAAAATTGAGAAAAGTATGCCGAGATGGTTTGGCTATGTCGAGAGAATGAATGAAGAACGATTGACGAAAAAAGTGTATGAGGCGAGTGTGAATGAAAGTGTTGGAAGGGGTAGACCTAGGTGGACATTTCTAGATCAAATCAGGGACGTCTTGAAAAAAGGCCAGGTCAAGAGTATCCTAAACCGAAGAGCATGTATGAAGAGAATAATGAAAGTAGACGAAGCGAAACAAGTATGTAAGAATCGTAGCAAGTCGAAAGAAGTGGTCTCTGCCTACCCCTACGGGAATGTATGTATGTAATTTTGTTTAAATATAATTGAATACGCGTTTGTTCATTCGAAGATACGTTTTATAAGGATTTGTATCTTCACTCTCAATTCTTACTGTAAAGTATTGCGAATCCCTTTTATTGAGCGCTGCCCTACCTAAAGTCTGACCCAAATACGTCCTCTTTTTTACTACGTCTCTTAGACACTTTTATTTTCTTTTAAAACTAATAAAGCATTAATTATAAACGTGGCAAAAGCGGCTGTATATACAATCATCTATTATTATAATATGTACGCGTATGTTTGACTGACAGCCAACCACAGAATATGTTGTGAAATATTGACATCATATTTCTATGAAGACAAATTTATAAAGTAATAACGGCTTAAGATAAATTACTAGACAACAACTGAAAGAACAAAAAGTGCGCATTTGCTGAATTAACATTTTCTCATAGAACAACAATGTAAAATAGTAGCATAATGCTGCTAGATTTTTCTTTGTTAAGTGATGAGATTCGGAGAACAGTTTTACTGGTAACGAACGAGGCATTCACTTTCTAACAGGTGTGCTGTGTGCTTGTTTGTCACTTTAAGTTGTATTAAAATATATAGTTCAGACATAATAAATTATATAATAAAAAATATTAGTTCAAACTCAGAACATTTTAAGATGTTTCCTTTCTTAAGCGACTTAAAAAAGGAAGAGGTTTTCAATTCGAGTGTACGTTTTTTCTGTATATATCTTCGTAGTTGGTGAACGGATTTTAATATTTTTTTAAATGAAATAGTCTTTACTTCAAGAATGGTCCCATCATGGAAAAAGGATGGAAAATAGGAAAAAAATTTTATATTGGACTATTGTTTAAGGAATTTCATATGATACCTTCGTAGATTTAGAATCGATTTTAATGATTATTTTTTATTAAATAGTTTATGCTTTAAGAGTGGTCCAATATAAATTTGGAGAAAAAATTCTCCACCAGGTGTAGCAAATAACTAACTTCTTTTTTAGCAATTTGACGGACGGTTTTTACCTTGTTAAATAGTTATAATTATCATAATCCTTACCAATCTTTATTAGTTATGTACGAAGGTTGCTGATCGAAAGTCCTGACGAGCTGGTCGGCGACATAAGTAACTACGGCTGTACTGATCCACTCGCGGGGATGGATCGCGGCGTCTAACCACACACCCACATTGTTGCAGCACCCGTTTGATATTTTCAAGAGCTAATAAAAAACACAGGGCCTTTTAAAACATTTAATTGTGGTGTCTAAGCTTGTGTTCTCTGATGAGATATAGTTAACACAAGTACTTATGCCAAATTAACCAGTGGTAAAGTAAAAAATGACTTTCAATAAGAATTACTTGCAATCAATCTATAATATAAAAATGAATCGCTGAATGTGTTGCTAAGCGCAAATCACGAGAGCAGCTGAACCGATTTCGCTAATTCTTTTTTATAATATTCCGTGAAGTACGAAGATGGTTCTTACAGCAAGAAAAATTAAAGTTAGAAAAGTTAAAAGTCAATTTGAACTTTAATACCATACCATAAAGTTTAAGTGTTAGTAGTAAGTTAGTAGTGTAAGGAGGGGTTCCGGGAAGGCAAAACAATTGAGTGACGTTAGTATCGTATAAATATTAATGTCAATATTAGTCAATATTTATACACACTGGCAGATAGCTGATGTTATAAGGAGTAACTTGGGCTGCTTTTATTTTAGGGTTCCGCGAAAAATAAATCCACGCTGGCGAAGTCGCGGGGAACAGCTAGTATTTAATAAAAATTTTTACTGGAAATAAGGCATTCCATCTTAGTCCTCAAGCCTGACAATGCATCTGCATTTTGATTCGCAAGCGAGGAGAGATGTAGATGTCTATGGGCCGCAGCAACCACTTACCATCAGGTGGACTGTGTGCTCGTTTGTCACTCATATCCTATAAAAAAAAAATATTCTCTTCTAAATAATTGAAAAGTTATTGAACATTAAAATGAAAAATGCGCTGAGAAAATATTACGAGAATAAACAAAGTTGAATGCCGTTTAAAATACTTTTAGATTACGGACAATATTGAGAATTTCCAGAGAATTCTCTTCGTCTCATGGACACTAGCCATCTATCTGCGCAGGACAGATTCCCTCACTATGATAGTCCTATGGGACGGCAATCCGACAGGAACGAAAAGAGATTAGACGCAGAACCTACGGCTTTACGTGCTTTTAGAGGCACGGGGTCGAGACACCGCCAACTTCCTGACTCCGGGCTGCTAATGAGAATTTCTTTACAAAAACCTAATAACTTATTTTTGCCTGATTAGGAATTCGAATCGGAAACCACACGAACAGCAGTGGCACTTACTACCACTTGACCAAAGAGACAGTCTTTTAAAAATAAATCAACAGCTTTATAAAATTCACTGCTGAAAATTAAGTCTTTAAATAATACGTCACCTGGCGAGTATTCATTGGAAGTTTAGCCCATACTCACGACGCTGAAAGCCGTGTTGATAAGCCTAAAGCCAATGAATAACAACATACTAATTTAATAATGCTGCTCCAAATAAATACGCTGTGAAATTTTGTTTCGCGGTTTTTTTTATAGATTTTCTACCATCACACAAAACAACATAGTATAATACAATAAATTCCTTAACAGTGATATGTGGAGCTTCAAGCTACGAAAATTTGAGTTTAAGTTGCAAAAAATCCTTACCCTGATATCGCGCCCTTCTACTGTCCTCCCAATTGTACATACTGTACATAAAGATGGGCATTCTCTTGCCAGATTATCCAGAAAGTCATAAATGACATTTAGGCGATGATAGTTCTTCCAATCCATGCACCGTCCTTCAGCAAAACGTGTAGTATGAGAGTGTATTCAAAATTGAAAATAATTATTGCTTGCACTAGCTTTTTATAAAATAGTTTTTAAGTAAGCTAATGATCACATTCATATTTAAAATGTAAAAATCAAAGAAGGCAATTAGAAGACATTTAGTTAATAACTTTAATGATTTTTTTTAAATAATGTAAAGCATAATTTGTTAAAGATCATTTGTGAATATTCTTCTATAAAAGCCCTTAAAATTCCAAATTGGGTTTGATTATTAGTTAACTATTTCAAGAAACTGTGTAATTGTCGTAATTAAGAAAATAGCGTTACGAAAATGTATTATGAAGACGTACATAAAAGTGTGGTTACACGAGCAATATTTTGAGAAATGTCCATCAACATTTGCCGGAAGTAGTAGAGCTATTAATATTTATTATTTCATTTTGAAAAAAAAATATTACCCGCTAGGATTTTCTCCTGTATCGTAGAGGCAGTTTACATAAATCTACGTCAATTCAACTAGGACAAACGTCCAGACCCGGAACAATTATTTGTAAGCCATACAAAAATACTTGTTCCAAGCAGGATTCGAACCCGCAGTCCTTAGCACCACAACTCATTGTTAAGCCACTGAGACACGGAGCCGTCATCTATCCTGAAATTGCGGCGATTGTTTCAGCAATATTGCTCCTCTATATATTCCATATTAGGATTTACCTGCGGCTTCTTTCGCGTTTATTTAAAAGCTAAAAAGAAATATATAATAAAAAGAAATAAATAAATATATATATACATAATCTATTGATCATCGACAATTTTAATAATTTCAATAATATTAATAGTTTGTCAAACAGGTTTGATTTTCTTTAACTGTTTTGATGTTTTAAATATTCCCTTACATAATAAAAATTTTAATATTTGTTTTAAGGCTGATACACACGTATTAAGTAGTTAAGTAATTAATTAAAATTTAAATAATTTTTAAGCAACTTAATTTTAAGTAAAAAGGAGACATTAGCAGGAGAAGAATCATAATGATTTCTTATATTTACCCGACTACTACACATTGAATAAAAATATTTTTACGGATTTTATTTGGCTTATTATATATAATCAAAATTAAAAATATTAGGTCTTTACCTATGAAATTCCCATTTTTTATGAAATAAGTTAACGTAATTTTTTTTAATTTTTTAATTTCTCTTAATCAAAGGAATCACTCATGCAGTCGATATATCTCTGCCAACGCAGTAGCAATTTATTGATGCTCTTCTTGAAGAAATGAGCTGGACGGGAGGCAACAAATTCTTCAATAGCATTTTGTACTGTCTCCTCCCGGGTATTAAATTTTTTTTAATTATTAATCTAAATTCTGAAAAAAGTAGAAGTCTGTAGGCGCGAGGTCTGCTCAATACGGCAGATGACGGATAGCTTGCAACCCCAGCTCTTGTAACTTGGAGACCGTCTATTGTGCAGTATGAGATGGCGCGGAGCCATGCGCGAGCTGCGGGGATGAGCGATTGACCAATAACTGGTTGGAGAGGTGTGAGCTCCACCTTCATCCAGCTCCATCATTGTGTACAGTTTTTCACAGTACACATTTGTGGTAATGCTCATCCCGTTTGGTCAGAAGATTTCATTACTTTTCTAGGGGTAAGTTTTCGTTTAGGACATTGTTCAAAATTCAAATGCAAAATTCCTTCGTTAGTATGAGCAATCACTGAGTTCGTGGGGTACCTATTTGACTATTTTTTTTACCTTGCCAATTTGACGTAAATAAACCAATAATGACTAAGTATTATCAGCTTCCACAATTGCCTTTAATTCGTCATTGTCGACCAAAAGACCATGGGGTTTTTGGAAGACCACGGGGTTAATTTTTTAGTTCTAAATTTCCAGAACGGAAGAAGGCAAACCAATAATAGGTGATGGTGGTGCTCGTTTGCAGTATTCGTTCCGTAAGCGTCGTTGTTGTAGTGTGCCGCTTGAACTGCGTTCATGCTACGACGGTATGTACTAATATTCCATAATTACTCGAATTTTTAACGTATCCTTGATGCCGAAAAAGATTCAAATGCGATGATTTTGAAAAAATAATTTCATGTTTTTAAATAAAATTAATTTGAAATTAGAATTCTTAGCCAAACAAAAATTATTTTGATTTGAAATAGTCGATACTGCAGAACGGCAATTTGATAGTAAAGACCTATTATAATATTCTGTTATATTTTCACGCTACTAGATAATGTTTTTATTTCTTTAAGTATCCTTGAACAAATTTTACTACTATAGTATCATAGTGTAACTTTCGCACACTTCGACATTTGAAAATCCTTTAAACAGATGATCTCCGAACATGACGCTTCGCCAAACTTATTAAATCGTCCAAATGTGTGAAGTGATTAGCCACGCCCTCCAATTTAACAAAAAAATAGGAAAAAAAATACATTCTTCTTGTTTTTTTTTTTATAGGAGAGGGGGCAAACGATCATGCGGCTCACCTGATGGTAAGTGACTACCGCCGCTCATGAACAACTGCAACATCAGGGAGGGAATTGCAGCTGCGTTGCCGGCCTTTTAAAAAGGAGTACGCTCTTTTCTTGAAGGTCCCTAAGTCGTATCGGTCCGGAAAAATCGCTGATGGTAATCGATTCCACAAGGAAGTCGTGCGAGGAAGAAAACATCTTCTAAATCGCACAGTGGTGGACCGCCAATCATCCAGATGATGTGGATGGTATCGGGAGTTCTGCCGCGATGTGCGTTCGTGAAATTTGGCGGCTGGGATTAATCCGAACAATTCCTCAGAGCACTCCCCATGGTAAATGCGAAAGAAAATGCAAAGAGATGCAACATCTCTTCGCAGTACCAATGAATCGAGCCGATCGGAAAGGGCTCGGTCGTCGACGATTCGAGCCGCTCTGCGCTGGATGCGGTCAAGTGGAGGGAGCTGGCACTGGGGCCCCTGCCCAGAGAGTTTACTCCTACGCTAAATTTTAGCTTGCAACTTATTTCTAAATTTTAATTATTAACATGCATTAAATCACTTAATTATTAATGAGTTACATTTTTGCTAATTACTTGACTATTTAATACGTGTGAATCAGCTATTAATGTTAACTTATCTCTTAAGGTGGAATTACACGGGCAAAGCAATTTTGTCAATTATGATGTCAGTACAATTGCTTTTAGGTTGTTTATAATTCGTATTACCCTACAGTAAAGGTAATTTTCGAAACTGGTAAAAAAAGGTGAATTTCAAAATTACTACTTCAACTATCTATATCTAGTAAAATTTACTATTATTATTTTATTTATTTATTTAGTAGACGACTGATTCAGGTATGAAACTTGTATTAACTTCTAGCCGTATACGGAAGCTCAAAGTCGCTCTATGATCTATGGAGAGAGCTATGTTAAGAAATACTCTGCGTGAAAAAAATACATAATATAGATATTCGCAGTAGAACTAACTGTATGACGGAGCAGTAAGCAGAAGAGCAATTGTACGGTCACATACCTCGAAAAACTGAAAATATAGATGGAAAATAATGGTTCTCGAATGACAGCATCGTACCTGTAAGCGGAATGTGTAGCGGCTCTCCACTAGATATGACAGATGTGATGTGATTTGACCTACTGAGACATGTAGGAAGTTGAAGGCAGGTTGTTTTGTTCCATTCTTTGGGGGAGGCCTATGTTCAGTAGTGGACTTGTGAAGGTTTGTAAACATAATGATAATGATGGTGCACATAGTTAAGTTGTAATGTTATACTTAGTCCACAAGCGCTCCTCCTTGATTTGGTGCATCCTTGTTCGCGATCAAGGAGGGCACCGACGTCGCTGATAGCAACAGCGTATGGTATGCACCGATCATGGAGCAAGTCTGCTACTTGCGCAGCTCTTGGCCCTTCCACCATTATATCCATTGAGCTGCGCTCTTCCTTCCAGATATTAATAGCTGCAATTTAATTCATCAGGTTTTTTAAATTACAAATCAACTTGAGATCCGTACGGATTGCATTTCTCCTCCCATTTACCCACGGGCGGATAATATGCTCTCACGTCATTCGTGCCATGTTCAAAGTTAATTTTGGTGGGATAAAGACTATTGACGGAAACTAGAAGATCATTTGGCCACTGCCAGATGGCAGAATACCATATTAATATGCTAAATTGTCCCCTATTGGTCATAGTTGCCACGCTCGACAGGCGTGTTGGTAACCAGAGGTTTTTATCAGGAAGATGCTGCTGCCCATCTCTACTACACGGCGTAAGAAAAGACGTTTTTTAAAGGATTAGGGTGACAAACAATCACACAGTCCACCTGATAGTAAGTGATTGCTGTGGCCCATAGACGTCTACATCCATCCTTCGAATCAAAATGCAGATGCGTTGTCACCCGTGAGGACTAAGGTGGAATGCCTCGTTTCCGTAAAAAGTGTCTCCGGTTCTTTACACTAACCATACGAAACAAAGCAGCGTCAAGCTACTATTTTACGCTGAATTTTAGAAGAATGCATTAAAGCACGTATATACATTTTAATGTGTGGTCGTGACGTAAGTTGGGTGTGACAGAAGAAGCAAGAGAATAAAGTTAAGACTGTAGAGAGGAGATCATTTCTTAATTACCTTATTTCTAACTAGCAAACTGCTTAGTTTGTGAGGGGATGAATAATATAATGAGAAATAGTGTGATGAATATGGTGTGCAAGATGTTATGAAGAGGAATGCTTAAGTGGTTTAGTTACGTAGAAACAATTGAGTCGGCATGGGTCGCCACAAAAGAAAGTTAATCCACCAAATTGACGATATATTGAAGATAGACGAAATTAAGACCACCTTCAATCGACGAGCATGTACCTGTAGATACATGGATGCAAAAGAAACGAGATTGGTGTGTCAGGATCATCAAAATGGAACCCCACAATTTCTGCCTACCCCTCTGAGTGACGTGCGTGACGTTATATTTCTTTAGGAATATTACTCAACAATAGAAAAATAATATCTGAAGACAGAAAAGAAATGAAGTATGTTTGTGTATAAAAGAAATTGATATTTTACTTCAGTATTTACGTCACCTACGGACGTTTGAATAATCTGAAGTTTTGCAGACTTAGAATAAGAACCGATCACAATACAATAATTTGATGAATAGGTTATAGGCATAAGATTTGGAGTCAGGGTCAGTATCATGTTTTCACTAAGATCATAATAACTAATGATCAATGTTTGTAGTTGTACTGTTTAAGCTTTTTTTACTCCATTATCATAAAGGTATGCCTTATACGGCAATAAGTAAAGATTATAATTGATTCGGGTGCGGCTATGGAGATCGGCCGCTATTTGATACTTATGTAATGATGAAAGGCATGGAAGGTGTAAATTATAATTTAATATTTAATCAGCTATTTCTTTAAATATATTTATGTACCTCCGCAAGTGTCCAATGATTTGATGAAGCACCTTTGCTTTTCACTTGAAAACTTGCACTCCCATACTTGCGTTTTTCCACACGTAGGTGCCACTTTGAGCGAATTAATTGAAATGGTATAATATAAACATATATATAATTTGTGGAAAGATGGAAAACAAATTTTGGCGAGTAGTATGCACTTGAAATTTTAAATCTTTAAATACATCAATGTGAAAGGAACCCTTAAAAGTTTTGCATATTTAAATGACAACTATTATTCTTTTTTAAAGTTGACAGTGTTTGCTTGGAAACTATTTGGTAAGAAATTAAAAAAGATCGTTTTATAAGGTTTTGTATAATTTTGAAGAATTTTTATCAATAGGATAATTATCAACAAATTCCATTAAAGCTTTTATGCAGTTTAAAATTTCATTGCAGGTCTCTTGAATTTCTTCTTTAGGCAGAAGGAATTTATGTTGTTTGCTTCTTAATTCAATTAAGTAAGTAAATGGTATATGTGCTGAACCATAGCTCCAATCGGTGCTGGTACCGGATGCTCCATACATAACATCTCTTGATATTCCAACTTTGTAAGTATTGCCGGTAGATGCGTAGATGGCCTGGTAATCATATTAAAAATCAATAATAATGGTACGTTTTAAATATTATAACAGTTTTATTATTAGTAATATTATAAATGAGTTCTTTTAATATTATTTCTGTTTTAAACTGATAATACAAGGGTAACTGCCATAACCCAGTGGATCGTATGTAACTCGGTGAGCGCAGTGTTGGGCGGCACCCCACTATTTGCAGTAACGACCGTGATTGGAATATGTTGTTGTCTTAATTTGGTAAAGCACTGCAATTATCTAAAAAACTTTAAAAAACATAGTTTTTTTATGGCCATTATCTCTAAAACTATGTGCCATACGAGGAAATGTTAAAATCCATACTAGATGTATACAAATAAAAAGTTGGAGTGTCTGTTTGTAATGTCAAAATAACAGCTTTTAACTAAATGCATATGAAAGTATATACATTACTTATAAGAAAAAATAATTAAAATTATTGTATGTCTGTTTGTTTCGGCTAATCTCCAAAATGACTGAACGGATTTTGACAGGACTTTCACTGGCAGATAGGTGATGTTATAAGGAGTAACTTATGTTACTTTTATTTTAGAAAAACAATTAGGGTTTCGCGCAACCCATGAAATCCAACTGCAATAAATTCCGCAACGGACTAAGTTGCCGTGAACAGAATAAAATGTGAAGATTTATTCATTTTATGTAAGAAAGATCACGTTATATAAAGATTATACTTCAACACTAATAGTTTTCTTGTGAAACGGTGTTGAAGTAAATAAAAAGTTGAAAATCGATTTTTCATCAAGACTTTCAGAGATAGAAGATCAAGTAAGGTCCTTGGGGTTTTGTGTAAAATTGCAAGCCAAAAATAGTTTTGTTGTAACTGTTAATATGTCTCTTATTGCATATAATATTTTATATAACTTATAAGATAATAATATTTGTTTCACCTATCAATTTTTTGATTTAGCACAAAAAATCTTTAATGTTTTTGAAATAAGTCTTAATAATTCCTGGTATTGGCCTCTCGTCTGTTTGTGAAGTTTCACTAAAATCGGTTTAGCCATTCCGGAGATTAGTCCAGATAGAGACAGACAGACTGACAAAAATATTAATAGCCGGCCAAGTGCGAGTCGGATTCGCGCATGAAGGGTTCCATACCATCGTAATACACGTTTCTAGTAGGGGAGCCCCTTTTAATTTTAAATTTATTTTAATCTTTATCTTTATTTGTTATTATAGCGACAACAGAAATACATATTTCAGCTGCGGAGGCTTAGTAATAGGGTCCCGTAACCTTTTGGGTACGGAACCCTAAAAAATGGTTATTAATAGCGTTCAAATGCACCCTGAGCTCAATATAAGGCAGTTATTTCGATGTTACAGACTGACACTTCAATTTTATTTATTATTTATATACGACGAAAATCGAGGAAGTAGAAATGAGATTGTTAGCTTGTATCAATCTCAATTCAGTAACTTCAAAAAAAAACGTAAAAATTTGTTAAAAAATATTATAACCTTTGACATAACCGTAGCTCCTTCAAGTAGACGCACGTAATCAGGACAAAGTTCATCTCTGTAGCCAAATGGAAATACAATGACTTGTCCATAGCTATGAAGTGTAACGTACACCTTGAATTTGATCCCAGATCTAATAAGAATGTCCTAAACGCGAAAAAAAAATTATAACTTTCTAGTAATAATTAACTTATAAATAGGATAATAATATAACAGTCGTGTATCTAATTGAATCTAACTTCCTGGATTACTAACTTTCCATTTGGGAGTTGTTGTAAATATTTCAAATTTAATTGGATGTAAAAAAAGGTCTACATATAAATACTTGCGATCCACGCCGGTTTTGCACGGGTGATTTCTGGATCCCGATAACAGCGCCACCTACCAATTCCAATTGTGAATCTAAGCCATTCTCGAAACAACTTAGTCGCACACAAAATTTCTCCGTTCTCGTCTCTCGCATCTGTTAGGTCCAGTCGTTTAGGAGGAGTTCAGTCACATAAACACGAACAGAAAAATTATATATATAAAGATAAAACCTATGCAACGTTGGGGTAAGAAATTAGTGGTATTTGCCAAGATAGTCCTTAAGGCGTGTGCTACTTTAAGCGGGACACGGGCGCGGAGAGCAGCGCGCTTGTCTGTTTCTTCAAAAATCATACCCATTCGTTCTGCGGGCTGCCCGCTACACGCAGCGCGTTTAACGGGTCTCGTATGACGGCTACCGAGTGCATAACCCCGGGTTGTTTTATACAAATAAAAATGATCGCCGCGGGATGTGCGTGCCGTTAATTATTTATTCTGTGGTGCCGTGAAATTACACGATACTTGATTATCAGAAAGTATCAGTTCAGAGTAATATACTATTCACGAGCATATCTGTATTTAAAGAATTCACTTGCAATATCCGGGACAATTATTTCGCGTTGTTTAGGGCACTATCAATTTTCATGGTCGCAATAATATAAAATAGACTTTTTGTTTAATATTTTTTTTATAGATTAAAAGTATTAAGCTCTGCAATTGACAGACATAATATAAGTAAACAAGTTCAACACTTTATTATATATGCCTGATATGTGATATGGCAAATAAATCTAATGACGGAGGTACTCGTCAATAATAAAATAATAGATAATCCATTACTACACGACACGACTATAGACGCGTACGGTTAAGCAGTACTAGAAACGTTGTGCTAAACAGGAATTCTCGCGGCGGGATATAGTTTTTTTGTAATATTCAATTATATGTTAATTTATTATTAGGTCTTATTTATTAGTAGGTATAAAAACAGAAATTTCATAGGTATAAACTATGAAATTTCTGTTTTTTATGAGATAAGTTAACGTAATTATTTTGCCTATATTTTTTATTTCTATTAATCAAAGTTTGCCACCGCAATGGCAGTTTATTGATGCCCTTCTTGAAAAAATCAGCTGGACGGGAAGCAACAAATTCTTCAAAGGCACTTGGTACTGCCTCTCGGATATTGAAATTTTTTCCCGTCAAAAAGTTATTCTGGAAAAAAATAGAAGTCCGTAGGCGCAACGTCTGGTGAGTACGGCGGCGACAGTTACCAACTTGGAGAGTGTCTGTTGTAAAGTTGCAGTGTCGTGCAGGAGCTGCGGGGACGAGTGACTGACGAAAGCTGGTGGGAGACGTGCTAGCTTCTCCATCATTGTGTTCAGTCCTTAACACTACACATCTGCAGTTTTGGTAAGAAGCTGTGATGAATCACACCGGCGCTAGATCACCAAACAGTGACATTCATTTTTCTAGCTGGCTTAGCGCTGGCGACCATTGAGTTAGTTGGGCAACCATTTGTTAAGCTTTTTTACCTCGCAAATTTTATGCAAATGGACAAATCTTGTTTTGATGCTAACGTCAAAAGATGCTGCTCTAAAAAAACCTTGGTTTTCGGACAACCACGGATTTCATTTTTCAGGTCGAAATTTCCAGAACGGAGACGGACAAATCAATAACAGATGTTGCGTTCGTTTGTAGTATCCTGAGCGTGGGTATTCAGGCTGCCTCGCGTAGTCAGAGGGGGGGGGGGGCAAAATTCCGCTAAAAACAATAACTGCAAACTGACCAACGACCAACAAGACCAAGGCGACCCCTGCCCCACGCTATCCGTTTATTTCTGCAACATTAGGGGACTTCACTCGAACCTAAACGCCATCCACTACCATCTCTAGAAGGCGAAGCCGGCCTTGCTCTTTCTGACCGAGACGCAGGTGTCCTCTCCGGCTGATACTTCGTATCTCTCCTACCCAGGGTACAAAATGGAATACTCCTTTGTGCCTCGGGCTGGAGTTTGCATATAAGTCGGAGAGAACATCTGTTCTCGACGTTTCGGCAGTCTTGAAGGTTTGGAACTATCCATCCTTTGGCTACGCGTAGATAGCGACGACAATCCGCGCGTCTACGGGTGCCTCTATAGGTCCCATAGCGGTAATATCAAAACAGACAGACTCATCGACCACGTCCAAATGGCTACAGATCCCATCCGCAGAGATCGTGATCCTTGGCGATTTCAACGCCCACCACGCCGAATGACTCGGTTCACGTTTAACCGATCACGCGGGGAGATCTGTTTATGACTTTGACACAACTGGTTACCTCGCCTCCGCGGATTCCAGATGTGGAGGATCATACACTTTTCCTGTTCCTTCTGCTGACCTCTCATCCGGATGCATATCAGGTTTCCATCGATGCCCCTTTCGGCTCTTCGGACCATTGTCTGATCCGGAGTGTGTTGCCACTCACGCTGCCCTCACGGTGGCGTTCTGCAGGTTGCCGCCGTGTTTGGTATTACGGGTCGGCGGATTGGGACGGAATGCGGTTTTTCTTTGCATCCTACTCATAGGGTTTTGCTTCTTGCTGGATGATCCCAGCGCTGTTGCTGAGTCTGTCGCTGATGTGGTGCTACAGGGAATGGAACTATTTATTCCATCATCTGTGGTACCCATCTGCGGCAGATTTCGGCCTTGGTTTGGTCGCTCCTGTAAGACTGCATTACGTAGTAAGCAGAAGTGTTATCAGGCCTGGGCTGGGGCTTTGGCGGCTCGGGATGTAAGCACCAACGTGCTTAAAAAGTATAATTTCGCCTCCAGATCCTTCAAAAGAGTTATTGCCAAAGTCAGAGCACATATGCAGAATTGGCGAGAAACTAGTTCGCTTTCCTTCGGGAACCCGTGCATACTGGTCTCTCGCCAAGGCTGTCCAAGTGAATTTCTGTAAGCCATCACTACCATCTCTGCACAGGGAGGACGACTTACTGGCCCACGCCGCAAAAGAGAAAGCTGACCTTTTAGGCTCCCTTTTTGCGTCCAAATCGACTCATGATGACGGGGGGAACACACCACCGACCATCCCGCGGTATGAGTGCCCCATGCCGGATGTGCGGTCCTCACAGCGTTCGGTTCGCAAAGCACTCCTCTCCCTGGACATCCACAAGTTGAGTGGGCCTGAAGGAATCCCCCTAATTGTGCTGAGGACGTGTACCCCAGAGTTGGCACCTGTTCTAACGCGTCTTTTCCAGTACTCCTACTCCCTAGGCATAGTTCCGAAATCATTGAAGAGAGCTTTTGTCCACCCGATCGCTAAAAAAGGCGACCGCTCAGACCCGTCCAACTACAGGCCTATCGCCATCATCTCTTTTCTCTCCAAAATAATGGAATCCATTATAAACTGCCAGCTCATGCGATACCTTGAGGATCACCAGCTGACTAGTGACAGTCAATACGGTTTTCGTCGGGGTCGATCAGCAGGTGATCTTCTGGTCTACCTGACTCATAGATGGGCGGAGACAGTAGAGTCCAAGGGGGAGGCATTGGCCGTTAGTTTGGACATTGCGAAGGCCTTCGATCGGGTTTGGCACAAAGCGCTTCTTTCAAAGCTCCCTTCCTATGGGCTTCCCGAGAAATTGTGCAATTGGATCACCAGCATTCTTGCAGATCGGAGCATCAAGGTCATTGTAGACGGTGCATGCTCCGACTATAAGCCTATTAACGCTGGTGTTCCACAAGGCTGCGTGCTATCACCAACGCTGTTTCTTCTGCATATCAATGATATGTTGTAAACCGGTAAAATTCATTGCTATGTGGATGACAGCACTGGTGATGCTCTATACACCGACCGTGCCAATATTGCTCGAGAAAACGACGCCGAGTACCGGAACAAACTTGTGTATGAAGTCGAGTCTTACAAAAAAGAGTCTTTGCTGGAAAAAGTTTCGGATTGGGGGCGACTAAATCTAGTCCAGTTTAATCCTCCGAAGACACAAGTTTGCGCGTTTACCGCTAAAAAGAATCCCTTTGTCGTATCTCGTCAGTTTCAAGGCACTCCCCTTGTTACCTCAGCCAGTATCAGAATCCTCGACTTGGAAGAGAAGGCCAAATTGGCCTCTAAAAAGTTTGGCATGCTCAGCAGAGTTACAATATCTTATGCCGGCACAGCACCTGCAACTTTACAAGGCGTAGGTTCGGCCTCACGTGAAATACTGTTCCCATCTCTGGGCTGGGGCTCGCCAGTGCCAGCTCCTTATATTTGACCGCATCCAGCGCAGAGCGGCTCGAATCGTCGACGACCGAGTCCTTTCCGATCGGCTCGATTCATTGCGGCTGCGAAGAGATGTTGCATCACTTTGCATTTTCTTTCGCATTTACTACGGGAGTGCTCTGAGGAATTAATCCCAGCTGCCAAATTTCACGAACGCACATCGTTGCAGAACTCCCGATAATGTCCACCCCATCTGGATGTTTGATGGTCCACCACTGTGCATATTTTCTTCCTCGCACAACTTCCTTGTGGAATCGATTACTACCAACGATTATTCTGGACCAATACGACTTAGGGACCTTCTTAAAAACTTCTTTTTAAAAGGCCGGCAACGCATCTGCGATTGCCCTAGTTCCCCTGGTATTGAAGTTGTTAATGGGCGGCGGTAGTCACCTACCGTCAGGTTAGCCGCATGCTCGTTTGCCCCCTCTCCTATAAAAAAAAGTATTCGTAAACTTCGTCGATGTTGCGTGCCACATGTGCCGCGTTGCTGCCACGACGGTACTCATATTTCATAATTACTCGAATCTTTAACGTATCCATGATGACGAAAAATATTAAAATTTGTTGAAAACATAACGCTGACTAGCGTTATGTTTTCATTTCATAAGCAAATTACTAATTTTGAAAAAATAATCATGTTTTTAAAATGAAATTAACTTGAAATTCGAATTCTCTGTCAAACAAAAATGATTTTGATTTGAAATGACCAGTACTGCGGAACGGCAATTTCATAGGTAAAGACCTATAACTATTAAATATTTCAGTAACGGTCTGTAGTAATTAATTAAATTAGAAGTAGAGAAGAGAGCATAAGCAATTTAAAATCTTGGTAACAAGTAAAATGCTTGCACCACTTGCTCAATTATTTATTGAGAATTATATATCAAATTTTATTCTGTAAATAAGTGCTGTTTGCAAAAGTAAGCTCAGCGCTCCCTTGGTTCTTGCACTAAAGCACCAGCTTAATTAGCCTGTGGATAAATCAGGTCATAGTCTTCACCGGTGACACCTGCATTTTGATTCTTAATCTATGGGCCACAGCATCCACTTTACATCAGCTGGATTGTGTGCTAGTTTTGTCACCCTTATTCTATAAAAAGGTAAGTCAAAGCGGTATCAAAAACAAAATCATATAATTATATAAGCCAAACATTTGTATATTTAAGTGCTTACTGCATTGTACTGGTGCATCTTATACATAGGCATGCATTGCAATATATGAAGTGAATTACTTTAATACTGCAGATTGATTTAAAACTGATGCATTGAAATTGATTTACGACTAAACCCTATTTGCAGTTTAATCTCAGCGTCCATCGCCGATGACACGATTTTGGTATCAACGGCATATTACAGCTAAATGATGCTGGATTTACGTATTCACTAGGGTAACATTTTACAATTTTCGATGTTGCCACAATTGTTAACTAATCTACTTTTAATATCACTCTTAATGTCTATGGCACGGATAGAATAACTGTGCCGCGAAGCAATATATTAAAACTTAATCTTTATTTAATTTTATTTTAGGCCGATTTTCAATCCTCAGACAAAAAATTTTCATAGGATAAAATACAACATAATAAAATTAAAAATCACAGTTGCATCAATAAAATAATTCACGTTATTCTTTATTTGATGGATAATTTTTATCTCACGATTGAAAAATCGGCCCTTAGGTGGTTATATTATAGTGTGCAGTGTGTAGAGTTTCGGATTTTCAGCTTCCACTCGCTACCATTACTTCCTTGCTTTTGTTCTTACTTGCTTGGCAAATATGTTAAATTTTGATATAGCCCTCGATGGTAAACACGTTACCCTGTGAATGAAGTTCGGTAAAATAATGAATCAAAGTAAAAATACTTTACCCTCATAGCCGATGATTCTGGCTCCGAAAATGGTTCTCGACCTCGAAAAACCGGACTTGTAGGATCACCTGATGAGCCCCTTCCTCCCCAGGCGAAGCTGAAATATTCATATCATCATCATTCATCATCACAACCCTTCACAAGTCCACTGCTGAACATAGGTCTCCTCCAAGGAATGCCACAAAGCACGGTCCTGAGCCACCTGCACCCATCGATTTTCTGCATGTCTTACCAGGTCGTCACGTCTTCGGTACACTTCTCCTGCCGGAACGACGCTGTCACTCGAGAACATTTCTTCCCCATCCGTTGTCGGTTCGTTGAGCTATATTGAGATATGGCCGGCCCATTGCCACTTTAGCTTACTAATTCGTTGGGCTATGTCATTTACCCTGGTTCTACTACGGATATCCTCATTTTTAAGTCTATCACACAAAGAAACTACAAGCATAGCAATCTTGAGCTTTCTTATACGGCCAGCAGTGAAAGACCACGTCTCAGATCCATTAGTCATCACTGGTAACACGCACTTGTTGTACAATTTTGTTTTCAGGTTTTGACATATATATATAACTGACGGAAAGATATTTCGTAATCTCCCTAACGCTGCCCAGCCGAGTTGAACCCATCGATTGACCTCTTGGTCGAAGTTGGACTTACCTAATCGGACTATTTGTCGTAGGTAAACATACTCGTCGACAACTTGGAGCGTAGTGCTCCCAAAAACTACCGCAATAGGTATGACTTGGACTTTACACATGATCTTTATTTTCTCCATTTTTATCTTAAGACCTATTCGTTGGGAGATACTATTGAGGTCATTAAGCATAGTGATTAGGTCCTTCATAAGGACTAAATCGTCGGCAAATCGACGGCGAATGGTATACTCGCTAATGAGGTTTATACCGTATCCTTTTCAGTCCAGTAGTATGAAAACGTCTTTCAATGTAGCGATAAGGAGTTTCGGGGATATAACGTCACCCTTTCTTACATCCCTCTGTAGTTGTATAGGTTTGGTACTGTACTCGGATAGCCATCGCAGCTTTACTGTACAAACACTTCAGCACTTGGATATGCCGAGAGTCAATTTGGCACCGCTGAAGGGACTGCAGCACCGCCCAAATTTCGACAGAATCAAATTTCTTTCTCATAGTTCACGTGCGCAAGGCAAAGTATGCTAGGTGTACTCTTCAATCTTGTATAAATTATTAATATAAAGCAAAGAAATATTTTTGGCGAAATAAATGGTTAAGATAAATAATTCGTGCAATGTAGATGAAAGTACTACTCGTATATAGAATATAATAGAATAGAATAATTTTTTATTCAATATTCATTATTACATAATACTTATTGAAAGTCATTTTTTATTTACCACTGATTCGGAAAATACCTCTGTCCTGGGAAGAACCAGTAAGAAACCCAGCGGGACTTTTTTTCAAACATATTTCACTTATATATATATATAACAATAATTTCGTTTATACAATTTTTAAATGATTTTTCATAGAACCAGCATGGTGGCGATCACTTCATTCCCAGGGATTATTTTCATTCATGTATTGCTTGATATTATAATAACCCTTGTTGTACAGTTTTTCTTTAATAAAACTTTTAAACTTGTTTATTGACAAACTTTGAATGTGTTCTGAGATTTTGTCGTAAAAGCGTATACATTGCCCCATAAATGAATTACTGATTCTGTGGAGTCTAGTAACTGGCATTACAAGCTTATGTTTGTTCATAGTGTTTAAAGTATGCACATCCTTATTCTTATTAAAGCTATTTATGTTTTTATGTACATACATTACATTTTCATAAATATATTGCGATGCCAAAGTTAATATGATTATTTCTTTAAATTTTAGTCTGAGGGACTCTTTATAATTTAGGTTGTAAATCGCCCGAATGGCTCTCTTTTGCAAAACAAATTTAGCTTCAATATCAGTCGCATTACCCCATAGCAAAATTCCATAAGACATTACGCTATGAAAGTAACTAAAATACACTAATCTAGGTGTCTCAACATCTGTGAGACTTCTAATCTTTCTTACACAATATGCTGCAGAAGTAAGTCTGAGCCGTTTGAGTTTGAAAATTAAAGAGGTATCGTCAGCAAATAATACTATATTGTGATTGTCCCCTACAAGATAAGTCATTAATATAGATTAAAAACAGGAATGGGCCAAGAATCGAGCCCTGAGGAACGCCCATTGATACTACTGATCCGGAGAAACCTTTACCATTGATCACGACTTTTTGAGTTCTATTACTTAAATATGAATTAAGAAGTCTAAGCGACAAATTTTTTACACCGTAATGTTGTAGTTTCCTGATTAATGTCTCATGATAAACACAATCGAAAGAATAAGGCATTTTGTGAATTCTCCCAGGCATTAAAAATATATTTCATAAGCTCAACACCGGCGTCAGACGTCGAGCGACCCCTTGTAAAACCAAATTGGTTATTATGAAGTAATTTATTAGTATTAAAAAAATTAACAATTGATCCAAAATCATTTTTTCAATAATTTTACTGAGAGTTGGTAGTACAGAAATAGGTCTAAAATTAGCGGGGTCCAATGTACTACCAGATTTAAATAAAGGTATTACTTTACTATACTTCATTAAATCAGAAAACACACCAGAATCGATACAAGTATTAAAAATAATTGCAAGATGAGGTGCAATTAAATCTATTATGGACGCAATAACTGTAACGGATATCCCCCACATACATGTTGTGTGTGAGTATGTAGGTACTATGGATGTATGTATGCATCGGTGTAAGTATGTGCGTGTGTATGTGTAATGTAGGTAAATGGCCTACATATTCATATAAAGCAATTATTTCGCTCTTACATGGATTGTGTGGTTATTCGCCTTTTTACTAACTTTTCCAGTTTTCGTAGTAAGTCTGTGTTCAGCAACACTTGAAATCTAGAAAATATTTAAAGGTTTTAAGTATTTTTACGTAATTATCTTCAAGTGTTGCCAAAATATATTCTAACCTTTTTTCTCCGAATGATTAATCGGTGAGTTTTATTTTTTAAAGTTCTCCCTTTTTCTTTACTTTTTTCTCTTTAAAAACAACCCGCTACGACCAAGATAAAGAGTACATTTACCTGAAGTTTCTGTTTATATCTACACCAAAGCATTGACCACCGTACCAAGCACGATTTTTTCTCCATAATCGTTCCACCTTGTGGGAGTATTCATACCCATCAGGATTTGCGACAGGTAGAAAATACCTGGCGGAAAAGAAAGAGTATAAGTTATGATTTGGTATTAATCGTAGGAATTTTATTATATTGGTTATTGTCAGTACATATCACGTTTCAGTATCCCTCTCGCCCCTAACGACACTCACGGAATCATGTAGGGTAGTAGTTACTTTTACGCCGCATTTGCACGGCACATTCAGACCAATAAATAATAATTAGCCTTTAGACAATCTATGTCTTGCTCTGTGGGTGTCTTCGTGGAAAGAGAGAATAGACTTTTGTTAAGTCCTTGCGCTTTATTACCTTCGAATGCATCATAAATTACCATCAGGTGGGTTAATAGTCAAGCACTGGCTTAGAATATTAAAAAAGATAATAGAGGGAAGTAAAGTGGAAGACGGGATGCAGTATCTTCCTCATAACAACTATACAAAAATAATAAGAAACTGCGGTTGCCAACTCGAATGCCAAGCATGGCAACTATGGTAAATATCCTTTTGATAGGTTGTAATGCTAATGATACTTTTGCCTTTGATAAACACGACTATTATAAGCAAACACTTGCCAATCTTTGTTAGTAAAACTTGTGGGAAGAGTATTGAAATTTCGGACTACATAATCTGCTATGAACGTGTTAACAGCGGGCGCTATCCATTCTCTTGCATGTATACCGGCATCTATCCAAACAGATGTATTTCCTGCTTCGCTGTTTGAAACCTTCAGTATCTGTTGGTAGAAGTAAAATTTAAAAGAATTATTATTTTAATTTATTATTAAAGTATTGTAAAAGAGGGGTCTTGAGATCTATATCTGCACATGCGACTATAATTAAATTTATAAAATATAATCCATTTAATTTGAAAAAAAAAATAACTTTAACGTATCGTATAGAATAGAATACGTATTTAGAAGTATCAACAAATACGGATCAGTGAGCTGAAGTGGCAATGGGCCGGCCATATAGCTCAAAGAACATAAAAACGACGGGGAAGAAAGATTCGGCTTCGAGTTGCAGCTTCGTACCGGTAAGCGAAATGTGGGCCTACCCCTCACTGGAAGGACCTGGTAAGACATGCAGAAGGTTGATGGATGCAGGTGGCTTAAGGCCATGCTTTGTAGCATTCCTTGGGGAAGGTGGATATGTGATGGGCTGTAATAATAAAGGTGATTATGATGAAGTGTCAAAGTCGATGATTGAACTAATTGATTCTCTTACCCGAGCTGACCTATCTAACCTATCTAAATCTAGTAAAACCTACATGTTGTATTATTCAATTTAGTTCGGGAAAAGAAAACAGACTTTTTAATTGATTTGATTTCTTTTTTCACTAGAATTTAGTTCACTAATTAAAAAAAATGCTTACAGTCTTAAATATACGATACGGCAGTAGTCATTGAAGTTATCTGTTCTTACTTTCATTTTCCTTCCTTCCTGCGTTGTACCGATGGCTCCAACAGTGCAAAGGGAAGGAAAATTATTCTCTAAATTTTCCATCCATTTATGGATAACATCTAAATTATGATATTCGTTCCAATTCATTTGCTGATAACCTTGTGGTTGGATCTTATCTTAAAAATTAAAAATAAATATGATTATTTTATTACAAATATAACCTAATCTATCGTACGGTGGCGGATTAACAGAATACTGACTCGAGGAAAAGCCAAGGTGATTTCATTGGCTTCGAAAGACTTAAAAACACCATGTGACGAGAAAACTGCTACAAAGTAGCGGGGACACCATCAATTGCCAATCCGCCTGTTAAACGTGACGAATTCTCGCCTACTGTGCAGGCACATCATGTCCAGAAGTGAATAGATTGAAGTGATCTATATCTAAATTAGTAAATTGGTTCGATGTTAATAATTTGCATTTAAATGGCACTAAAACAAAATGTATGAAATTCGTGACTCCATATGTCAAACAATTAAATACTAATGTAATTTTAAATGGGGAGAAACTGAGTCTTGTAGATACCACCATTTTTCTTGGAATCACACTAGACGCGAAGCTTCAATGGAGCCCCCATATATCAAAACTAGCAAGCAGACTTAGTTCTGCAGCATATGCTGTAAAAAAGATTAGAAGTCTAACCAGTGTTGAAACAGCTAGACTAGTTTACTTCAGCTACTTCCATAGCATAATGTCGTATGGTATTTTGCTATGGGGACACGCAGCTGACAATGAAATTATATTTGTTTTGCAGAAGAGGGCCATAAGAGCAATTTATGATTTAAAGCCTAAAGAGTCGCTGCGACAAAAATTTAAGGAAATTAATATATTAACTTTGGCCTCTCAATACATTTATGAAAATGTAATGTACGTACACAAAAATAAAAGTAGTTTTACAAAAATAAGTGATATTAATTCTGTAAATACTAGGAACAGACACAAGCTAGTAGTACCAGTTACTCGACTCCATCGAGTCTGTAATTCATTCTTGGGGCGATGTATACGCTTTTACAACAAAATTCCAGAAAATATACAAAGTTTGACCTGTTCAAAGTTCAAAAACTTTATTAAACTAAGTTTGTATAAAAAGGGTTATTATAATATTAAGGAATTTATGGATGATAATAACCCCTGGAAATGAGGTGATCGCTACCAAGCTATTTCTAATTTGTGTGTTGTTAATTTGTGTAACATCATGATTGTAAGCTGTTATTTAAAAAAAGTCCCGCTGGGTTTCTTGCTGGTTCTTCCCAGGACAGAGGTTTTTTCTGAACCAGTGGTAATCAAACAAAAGAGTGACTTTCAATAAGTATTATTTATAATCTATATTGAATAAAAAAGTTTCTGTTTCTGTTTCTGCTTCTGATAATTGAACAATATATACATTATGTTTAAAGTAGTCTATTTTTCGACTTTTTGTTTAAGTACATACCTGGTGCAGTTTCAGGAATCTTTACTGAATAATATGGTTTTAAAGGATCCAAATCCTCAATCAATGGTTTGTCCTTACAAAGATCTAGGGATTCATCACGTTTTATCAGATTTTGAAAAGGCTTATTCTCATCTAGCTGTCGTTCACTTTCTTGTTCATCATTATCTCTAACCTCGGGTAATATTGAATGACCATATTCTTCATTACTAATATTCTCATTTACCTGATTCTGATTATTAACCTCCTCTACTATGTAATAATCCATTGTTCTGATATTGATTAAAACTTTTTGTGTTAGCTAAATATTTTTGTTACTTTAAAATAGTGTTTAACACATGTTTAAGTTTTTATTTATATATTTCGACATATTTGTAAACTTTGTTTTACTTTGACAGAAGGAAGTAAAAGGAAAACATGTTACTCTAGATTTCTTATTGTTTTTGTATTATGTTATTTGTATGATATTTGTATTTGTTGTAATATTGTCATGATTTAGTATTTAGTACATTTTTAGGTTAACAAGAATACATTTTGTGAATTATGGAATAGAAGCAGAAAGAAGAATGACTTATAAATAATAATCTATGGAATGGCCTATAGTGAAATTTGTTAGTAATCTATGACCACAACAACATGTTATTAAACTCTACCGAGAGTCTGAAAATGAACGTTTGCGAGTTAGTAACACGAATTTATAATACTTGGTATGTTTGTAAATATTGATGATTTTCTTCAAATATTAAATATTGATGATTTTTCTTCAAACATTAAATATTAATGATCTTTTTAATTATTGTGTGTAACAGGTTAATAGGTATTATCTTTGTTTACTTTCACTTGACTTTTACGCCGGGGATACCTAAATTTTCCATTAAACAACTTAACAGTTTTATCAGAAAAGTCGTTGGATAAATAATTGATTCCAGACGCTTTATGGTACATAAACAAGTAAGACATGTTTAAGTACGTTTCACGTTGAATAACAAGTCGGGGCGACAGTTAGGTGCGCTGCGAGGCACCACGCCGGGCCATAAGCAGTGTCTAATGAAAAACAAAGCTAGGGTGACCGCCACCCAACCCAACCCCGCGGTCTGACTACGTTTAGCGACTAATTGCTGTACCCTGTAATTTATTCTGCGATAACCTTAGACATATAGGCGGTATCCCTTCGTGAAAATGATTAGATTAAGAAAAAAAATTGTTGTTCCGTGCAATAATTAAATTTATTTGGAATCAATACACTCATACATATATATCTTGATAAGAGAATCATGTTTAAGCAAATACGTACGAACAATTTGTAGTATAAAATAGGGTAGGGAACTGTCATTATTTTTTCAAGGTTGTAAGGAAGAGGAACGTCTGAGAATCGAGGAGTCTCGTACTTCGATTACCGATTCGCCTACATTGAATGAACGTAAGCTTATGTGTACTAGAAAATAGCTAATATAGCCGTTCTAGTTCAAGAGCTAAGCTCTCGCCATAAATTCACAGTACGCGAACAGCTCCTGTTTGATCTCCGCCGGCAACAATGAAATAGTTAATTGTTGCAAGTGACTTAACACGTGTTTGACGCTTCTTCATAGACGAGCAACATCGAAGGGAAGCCTCTATAAATCTGAGAAATAAAAATCTTCATGGAGAACAACCATCAGCGCTGGACAGGATTACAGTGCCCAATAGTATACGTAAACACAGGTGCACTATCTATTCCCTCACTCTCACAGTTCGATGGGACGGTGAAAAGACACGACCGGAGGGAGATCAGGCGCAAGACCAACACCTTTACTTGCTATCCGGGGCACGGGGGTGAAACACCGACAACCTCCTGACTCTGGACTGCTACTGAGAATTTCTTGACAGAAAAATTCAATAAGTGATTTTTTTGGCCCAACGGGGGATTCGAACCCGGGACCTCATGATCAGCAGTCGCATTTACGATCACTAGACCAATGAGGCAGTTTCGTAATACAGTCTAGCCGTATATGTTAAAACTTCTTAACTTTTCACGTTTTGTTAGTCGGTTTACTGATACAGTAAAACATTATGTTAGGCCACTTGGATCGATTGACTACCTGCGTGTTTCATCAGGTCGTTACTCCATCTAGTGGGATAATCTTATTAATGTTCTTTTCGATCGGTCCTCAGTTCTCCAAGTTATATCAGGCCCACTTCATCTTACTGAACCCCTGTGCTATGTTACTAAGCAGTTATTGCAAATATTTAGAATTTTGTAAGAGAGTAATTAACGGGAAAACACATGCTACTTCTGACCTACTCTCAGTCTTATTAGGGTTTTATGTCTCGTGTAATGAGTGTGTTCCAACTTCACATACAGGTTTAGTGGGTACGATGCGATTCGTAGATACGATGTTTTCTTTCACCGCCAAACACACGGTAAATGAGGACTCAAAATTACAACTAGTCACTTCAGTGGTAGTAGGGATCAAACTTAGTTAAATCGCGTACTGTTTGTTTTTTAACGTGCACGCTTAACCCCTGATCTATGAGAACTTTAGTATTTTGGAAAAACTAGAACATGATCTTTATAAATCTAAGTAGCGAATAATAATCAACTGTCACTGAGGGAGAAAGTTACAATTAAAAAGATGAATGAAGGATAAGACGAAGTTGAGGCGACATTTCGATGGGTGGGGAGGTGCCGTTTGGGGTCCGCCACCTGGTTAGCGGGTTACCCACAGATCTTTAAGTTACCATGGATAATGTTGTCAAATATTTTATTACATTGGTGTTCGTCATTATCATCATCATCACCGCAGCCTTACAGACCCATGGAGCCGATGTTGGTATCAAGTAAATAAACAAATGTAAAAACCTAGTTAATGGTTTTGAAAATTACAAGGGTGTTTATCTAACAGTTTTTGAGTTATGGTCGGAAGTAGCTCGAAATGGTTCGTATTATAATTAATTAAATTAGAATAAATACTACCAATTCTTCGTCCTCTATAGGCAAGCATTTCTTGGTATGTATTTAATTAATTCGAGTAATAAAGTGAGTTAAAAATGAAAATCATGACGAGAAGGTGACCTGAAGTAGTGGATTTTATTTCATTAACAGGGAGTGCATAGTCGAGTCAAGACGGGGGCGCGTTTACTGAAAATATCAGATTACATCTAATTATCGAGAAGAGCCGCGCGAACTTAGCGCCTCTGCTCTTTGAGTCGCGTCTCTTGATTACACGCGCATTGTTTGCATAATCATTTCTGACTATGTACTGATTAAGAATTTCTTTAAAGTAGCGATTGCAAAGTCGAGGGGTCTCATATGTAACCTACACTTACATTATAAACATAATACTGTATTTAGATTCTTGATAACTTAATGTTCTCTTGTCTTAAATTGATGATACGTCTGAGAATAAACTCTAGTAGCCTGTAATACATTATATACGTTCTTAGTACTGAAGAGTTACAAGTGAGAATTTGTAAAATTAGTTAAGACGGTGTTGTGTCTATGATCAATGAATAATTGATATATTTTCTACTAGAAAATGAAAGTATTATATGTATGTCCAACATTAAAATGCATTATAGTTGTTTGTATGACGTTGGTCTAGTGGGTGCAAAAACCTGGATCGGGCAAAAAAAAAACAAAACAGTTTCAGTCAATTAAATCTGTTGCAGCCCGAAATCACGAATCGTTTCATCCGTTTAAGCCGTTTGTCCTACACCTGATCTCTTTCCGGTCGTGTCGGTTTGCCGTTCCATTAGACTGTGAGGGTAAAGGGAGGAGAGTGCACCCGCGCTTGTGCATACACTCGGGCACTATAATCCTGTCCTGCGTATATGGCTAATCTCCGTAGGAAACCGGCCGCCGTGACCGAAATTCGTTCTGGAGGGCATTATCTAATTGCTATAAAATAGACTTCTTACTATTTACTTTAAAGAAAAATATCATCATAATTACAGCCTTTCATAAGTCCAATGCTGAACATAGGCCTCCCCCAAGGAATGCCACAAAGCACAGTCCTGAGCCACCTGCATAAATCGACTTTCTGCATGTCTAACCAGGTCGTCACTCTATCTCGTAGGGGGTCGCCCTACACTTCGCCTACCGGTACGAGGCCGCCACTCGAGAACCTTTCTTCCCCATCGGTTGTCGGTTCTTCGAGCTATATGGCGGGCCCATTGCCACTTCAGCTTACTAATCCGTTGGGCTATGTCGGTTACTCTGGTTCTACTGCGGATATCCTCATTTCTAAGTTTATCACGCAGAGAAACCCCGACCATAGTCCTCTCCATAGCTCGCTGAGCAACCTTGAGCTTCCTCATACGGCCAGCAGTGAAGGACCACGTCTCAGATCCGTATTAATTCGTATTGAAAAGAAAAATATACAACACTAAAAATAATGGCCTTTGATATACGAGTACATACATAAACCTGTATGAAGTAATATAAATCCGTGATTACATATTATATCATCCTTCAACTTCTTTTTAATCACGGTCTCTCAGCAAAGAGCTTAGATTAATTACATACAGTGATTACTCTGAGTTACAGACTAGGTTTTGTGCACTTGATCAAAGAGTAAAATATATATTACTACCTATATACCTACGTTTTTTCCACAGATAATAATACACAGATATAGTAGAGATGACGATGAAAGGCGGACGCTTCGATTTTTATTACTGTTATGTCAAACGTCAAATTTTCTATCTATTATGTAAAATTTATAAGTCTGCATGTTTTATACAAATTTTAATGAGCAAATTTAATAAAAACTATCAAAGTGTCACAAAAAGGATTTAGATATCAACTATGGTCTGTAAAAGGCTTAAAAGAAGGCCAAAGAAGTTTTCTGAAAAATTTAGATACAAAAGGCAGTAAGTCAGTAAAATGATTAGTTATTAATTTACGTTTTATGTACAGGTTATGACTTTGTGGTCAAAGTATGTATATGTATGGCCAGCGATAACATTGGTGCCAAAATACAAATTGCTGTTTTTTATTACTTAATATAACCAGTGCTTGACTATTATTCCATATTGTGGTGAGTGGTGATGGAGCCGTAGAATGGTAAATGTCACTGCCATAACGTAACAAAATCCTATTCAAATTTGCTTTAAAAACGCCCAGATTGTAACTGGACGGAAAGGCAGACGCCGGTAGATTATTCTACTCCTTTGCTGTACGCATTACGAAAGACGAAGCAAATCGTTTGGTTCGAACGCGTGGAATATCCCAAACGGGTGAAGATACGCCGACTATCTTGTTGTCCGATAATGGAAGGCGGAGAGACA